ATTGTACAGTAGCTAATGTTTTCAGCTAAATTCTGATTTTTTTTTCTCAACCCTAGGATAACAACATATTATGCAGTTAACCAGATTTATGCAATATTCTGCAAGTATTTGCTGTCTTTTGACATACACGCATGTCAGCCTGAATATGAAATTAAACCTCAGCATTTTTTATCTACAAACTATTGCTCCTCAAATAATTTAAAAGGATTGTGCAGATTAACAAACATTCCTTCCAGTGCAGGCTATAAACACAGCAATCATATTACACTGTCTACTCAGATGCATGCCTAATTATAGCAGTGCCTGTTACCATCATGATAGTTCAGAATCTGTCAGCATTTCCATTATACGCCCCTATTTTTAGGGTGTCTATAATCAACCATGAATATACACTAAAGTCTGAAACATGGCATGCAAGACGTGATCTCTAGAGTAAGTTTGATTATTTGACGTTTGCTCTTCTAACTCCTGCCGTTACAGTAAGTTCTAACACACACTTACAATGCCTGTTTGTCAATGAACTGTTCCGAGTATTATTTTATTCATGTATTTCCATGACTAGAGTACATGATTCTGACATATAATAGGGTTTTGTGATAATGAGCAGGCCTTAGGACCTTTAGAAAGCTAGGCCTCATAAATGCTTCTCATGCAAATTATCCAAAAAATGAGCCATAAACAAATCTTCAAGGAACACAGCAATACTCATACTATATCTTACCCCTGCATTTTGGGGTTCAGTCTCATATTGTGATCAATGGCACTCAGGAACTGGGATTTAAAAACTGCTCTGTGCACTGCTGTAGAATAATTTTGCTGTAAGTCTGTTACCCCCAGCAGCTAGAAACCAACAAGCATTGACATATGAGATTCAGTATCCAGCCCAAAGATCAGTTTAACAATTAAGACAACGTCTAGCATACTTGTGGATGTCAAATCCGATTTTGAACCTACCAAGCTGATGCCCTGTGGCAAGGTAAGTGTCAATAACCTTTTATGTTACAAAGTTTTAATTCATGTTCATTTGTACTTCATTGCTCATCATCTCCCAGTCATTCCCACGATACTTTTTTGGCTTCTTCTTCGTGCCTTTAGGCCTCTTTGATACTACACTACTTGCACTTTATTTCAGATCACATTTTTGTTGATGTTTAGCTTTTAAAGAAAAAAAAAACACATAAGATTAGAGAAGGACTGCCCTTCTCCTTCCTTTTTTGGTTTCTTTCTCACCACATGCCAATGGAAAAGAACATGTATCAAGTGGAACACCAAAAATTACAAATGTGCATTTACACAGCTAAATATTTAAGGGGAAGACAGTATGAAAGCAGCAAACAAAACAAAAATGCTTACTTTGCCCAATCAACTTTCTGATGAGTCTACTAAAATGTTTTTCTCCCTATTCAATACTAATAAATCACAACTCTAAGTGTAATCACAACTGTAAGATCATAAATGAGCCTTAACAAGGCAAGAAGTTTGTTTCATGTACCAACAAACTGCACAGGACAGAAGTAATTAAGTAACTTGACCTAAATTACTTAGAACACTTACGTTGCATAGTGAAAAGCCAAATAAACAGACAGTTTGATTGCTTACTGGAAATTGGGCCTTACAAAAAAAAATGATCATAAAATGCATCTTTTTCCCACCTCCCTTTGCTGGTACAAAGGAAAGTAGTCAGTCTTCTGGTTTGAAAGGACCAAAAAGTGAAAAGTAATTTGGAACAATGTGATTTGGGGGTTTTGGCAATTCGAAAAGGTAAAAAAATTATTAAATTGCAATTATTGTTAAAGAGACACCCTAAAAAAGAATTAGCATGCCCTCCTCACCTATAGCTTCTAAAACTATACTGTCTTTGTGCACATCAGGTGCAACAAGCTGTGGTAGAAGGCAGAAGACATGGACAAGTTTGATCTTATCAGATTACAGGCTAAACAAATGGCTACTGTGCAAAGCCTTAAAAGAACATCACAAAGCAGAGGAGTCAAGGGCAATATCAAATGAAAAAATCCTCATTCATCTTTTATCAAGGGATTAATATACAAGCCTTGATAAAATGCTTAGCATCTGTAACTTAGCAATTAATTTTCCTTACTAAATAAAAATGTAACTATAGCAAATCCTATCAGCAAAATAAACATTTTTTTTATCAATCACTGCTTTAACGTTACGTATGCCTTTGACAGGCTTTGTTAAAAAGCCTTTAAGCTTTCTACATGCAACAAACAGCCTTACACAAAAATGTATATTTCCTCACTTATGCAAGTGTTTCAACCATTGTCTCTTACAGTGGAAAAACAGGGAATACATAGACAAGGCACCTTTACTGTTTTGTAACTCAGTTCCTCAGGAAAGTCAGGTCTCTCCCTCAGTATATTCAACCCTTTTGACCTTACATGACTTCCCAAATTTTTCAGTATGTATTCAGCACTAAATGGAAGCTGTACTCCCTTTCCATATGTTGCAGCTACTATAGCAGCCAGCTGCAGTGTGCTAAAGGTTTTGAACAGGACCAGTAAAAGAAACTACTACACAGAAAAGTTTCTGTATACCATACAAACAATAAAATGTGGATTACTTGTGAAATTAGAGCTCCATAGTTATTAGTCACAAATTAATGATACAACCTAGGAATCAATCAATCTAAAAGTTCCTAATAAAATTTTAATGAAACAAAGACTTTAATAGAAGACCGAGAAGTCTGCAACATGCTCTGTTTCTTCCTTTAGGCTCATGACAAGTACGCACTGCAGGAAGTACAAGCTCTCTTTATTCCCACAGGGCCTCCAACTTTGAAGCACTTCAAAGGCCAGGAAGCTCAACAGGGAATACTTCCAGGGTGTGCCACAGCAATGATCTACTTGTTTTGCTGACCGCCCACACCAATTCACTCTAGAACTTTCTCCCCTCCATACCCTTCCTTTGAAGTGTATATCTGTTACATACTGAAGTAATGGAACTTAGTGAAAGTCAAGGATGAGATAGCACAGGACTGAGTATGAATTTCTTTTAACAGAGAAGACTATATACCAATAACAGCAAAGAAAAAGCATTTTCAATGCTATTCTCCATTTCTTGCTTCCTGAATGACCTTAGTGAAGTCACTTCATCTATCTTCTCTGATTCTCTGACTTACAAAGTGCTGTGGGATATTACTATTAACATACTACTAGTATCAAAAAAAAAGCATAATCATCGTCCATCCTTTTGCCTCATCTTTATGTCAAAGTTACTTACTGCAGAATACAATAGCAATACTGTACTTGACCATGCCCCATGTAAGATTAATTTCTGAGTATTTAGGGTGTTTCAATGTAATTAATTCAAATAAATAAGTACGTACATAATTATCTGGCCTCTAAAACATTACGTATTCATCTGCATGCAAACCAGGGAAAAGTACCAGCCATAAAGCTTTAAATAACACAAGCTCACTCTCCATTGAACACCCTTTGCCCTGCCCTGCAACTGTGGACATACTTCACTGCAGGCTCTGGAGAGACCACAATGACTATTTCAAGAATGATCTCCACCTATGACATATTCTCCTTGTTATAGCCCAGATCTTGTACAGGATATCCCTCAGCACAACAGGGTTACCTGGGTTTCCTCTTAACCTAAAAAAAGAGCCAGAATTCTGTAGAGAGAATCAAGACCTTTAGCTACACCATATACTGATCACAGAACTGCTTACCACATGGCTGACGTTTTGCTGCTGTTTCTTTAAATCTTTTTACAGGTGGTTGAGACCCCAACTGCTATACAACTATAGCACCAAAGGTCTTCAGTAGTTTTTACTTTTCCTTTAAGCTCAGGAGATTCTGGCAGACAGTGGAGATGTTTTTAAATACAGTCTGTCTGATAGTATTTTTAGTCACTGCGAAGGTGCTAAGGAGGCCTATGTGGTATAGAAACACTAATCTGCTACAATTATCAGTGTTCCAGTTGTACTGGAGACAATAGCACAACGGTGGTGATAACTTCAAAGAAAAGTACTGAATGAAGACACTGGTAAATGAAACTGTGCTGTAGGCTGTGGCTCAGTTTGTCAGAAGAGCCAGGCCGGGCTTTGCACATTGCCCAGGCAGCAGCCATGTTGCCCTGAGAACTGCCTGGGCCACCAGCACCAGGGAGAGAAAAGCTTTTAAATGGGTCCGCATATGAAAAGAGACCTTATCACCTGGCAAGCAGCTGAACTGCTGAAATGTTGCTGGAACATATAAAACTTAGAAAATGGCAGAACACTCAAATATCAATTTCAAGTTGTACTGCAACATTGTTTTTCCTCTCAGATAGACAGAATCCTAGGATGAGAAAAGCCTGAATAATCACTTTAAAAAAAAAAAAACAATCAAATTCTTTTACTGAGTCTATGAAATCATTCTGGGTTTAATTTTACACCATGCACACTGTGATGACATGTGCCACTTACATAACTCCTTCTATCAGAACATTTTTAATTACTTGTGTGCCTTCAGAGATCAGGCTGAGATGATACCCGAACACAGACTTCAGAGATATTTGTATTTCAACTTTACATCATAAAATTGATGCAGTGACGCAGACAGCTTTAAGCCTGTTCAACAGACAGAATAAATTTACACAGCAGATGCAGTTTTAATTTACTTATTATTAATTTAAAATCTATTCCCATGACACAGACATTTCTACTGAACTTCTGGTTTTAAAATCACAGTAGACTCATCTTTCTGGTTCAGACACATCTAGCCCATAAAGCCTTCTCCCAGATAAAGAAGAGGTGGGGAGGTAGGAGAGGAGCAGAGGAAATAGGTCCTTTCAGATGATGAAGAAATCCCTGCATCGTAGAAATTCACACAGACATCTGAATTCATCAGTATGGTAAATATGCAGAACCTGAATCCATGAAACAGGCAACAACTAGCTTGGTAAAGAAAACAACCACATTTGTAGGTCATGATTATAACCACTCTTCCCAGG